AAAAAAGCTGCTTTCCACGAATGCCGTGCCTTACAGTTCTTTGAGTAATCGTTTAAATTGCCCAAGGGACTCTGCTTCCCTTAAGTTACAAGGAAGACTGTTCCAGAGAATGGCGCCACTATAGCTGAAGCTGTTTTTGTAATAGTTTGTGCGCGGTAATGGAACATTGAGTTTATTTTCAGAGTCCCTTAGGTTATATGCGACTTCTCGCCTTTCAAATTTAGAACTAAGATAGTTTGGAGCCAACCCGTGCAGAGACCTGTAAACCATCGTAGCTCTTTGAAATTGTTGCTGGCAAGCTAGGTTTTTCCACCCTAGAAGTTTAAAAAGGTGCCCAGCATCTGCGTCATAGCTTGAGTAGGTCAAAACACGGGCTGCTCTGTTTTGTAGCTTTTGAACCTTATTCTGTAAGGTTATCCCACAGTTTCCCCAAACAATGTTGCAATAATCAAAGTGTGGCTGTATCAAAGCTTGATATATTAGTTGTAAGGTCGCCTGAGGGACAAGGTGCCTTATTCGTTTTATGGCCCCAATACCAGAAGCGACTTTCTTTGTTACTTTCTCGATATGGCCACTCCAATCAAGTCTGTCATCGATGGTCACTCCAAGTGATTTTGCAGTAGTGACCTGGCTAACTTGAAAATCATTAATTGCAAATGTCGGGGACTCTGTGAGAGTACTTAGCCTCTGCCTAGATCCGATAAGCATAAATTCGGTTTTAGTCATATTTAAAGTAAGTTTGTTTGCTCTCAGCTAATTTTGAACATTTTCTAAATCTTGACTTAGATGCAACTGAATATTGTCTGCATTATCGCCTGCGTATGTAAGGTGGGTGTCATCAGCGTACATCCTCGGCTCACAATTTGAAAGACAGTTTGGAAGATCGTTGATGTACAACAGAAATAGTAATGGACCTAAAATCGTCCCCTGGAGACGTACAACACACTATAAAATATAAAGCAATTGGATACTCTGTGGTTGGGTTTGATCGGCAGGGAGAACGTCAAAAAGGCAACAGGTTTTATTAGCAAAAAAAACTTTGCACGTGCATCACGCTTTTTTGTACATTTCTCTGCCGTCACTGCACGACTTCGACGTGAAAATATGCCTTTTTGAATTGCACGTTTTATGGAGGACGTAAACAAGCGACGACAAATTTTTCTTTTTCTTTCTAAACTTGAGTACGGTCCCCAAGAAATCAACTTCTGAAAAATTGGCCTACATTTGACATCTTCAGTGAATTGAAATATACGCAACAATGTTTGAAGAAACGCGAATTTATTTTAAAAGCGACGTTTTCTCCGCCGTCGCCGTCGTCGTTGCTAAAG